ATTTTTGTATGACATTTGCTATGCATCTTCCCAAAAATATCATTCGAATTTTCTCCTTAACCTGCCTAGCCTATCGTTTTAAGGTCTTGGTCCACAGCTCTCTAGAAATAGAATTTTGGAAATTGTCAAAAAAGAAAAAAAAAAGAAAGAAAAGAAAAAACAGGAAACTTGACTTCAGGAAATTTTTTTTCAAACACGCAAATCCAAAAGGTAGTTGGTTATATTGGAATATAATTGTGGTGAATTATTTAAACGCGTAGAAACGAAATTATGGATATAACTTAAATGTATCGAAATTTCAAATGCAAGCCAACCGAGTTTATTGTTTCTAATGACAGGACATTTCTTGACGATGACTGTGCATACTCATTCATGATTGTGTGGCATTTAGTATGCAACTTCCTGGAAATATTCTTTTTTTTTCTTTCTCATTGATCTGCCCACTACAAGAAGATTTTTTTCTTTGGTAATGAAAAATTTTATAGATAGTTCAGTTAAGTTTAAAAAAAAAAACTTAATTCAAGACAAAAAAAAGTCATTTTAATCATAAGAGTAATAAGAAGCACAAAAAATAGAATAGAAATAAAATCACGTGGAGAAGAAAAAGGAATCAAAGGCAAAGAAAAAACAGCTAGCAACGCAGAAGAAGTAGATGAAAAAGAAAAAATGCCACAAATTGAGAAAATATAATTTATTAGTTTAAATTAACAATAGGCTAATAAAGTAAAGTTTTTTTTTTCTAAAAATTATTTAGACATGCATGAATTGATATATGATAATATATGATAAGTTGAATTCTCACACATATCATTGTGTTAATTTTTCCTTTTGGAAGAAATCAGAAATATTAGGACTGAATTGCAGAAGAACAATTTGAAAAAGAGAAAGTTGAAGTCAAGGACCCAGATGAATAAATAAAACGTGTAAAGATCAAAGTGCGGAAGAAGTAACAGTTGAGAGACCCATAAAAAAACAAAGAGCAGTGCTACGGGCACTCGCTTTTCGCACTCTCCGGCCAACACTTCCCCTTTCATTGGGCCACGTAAGCTTCTTTAAACCTTGCAGGCGCAACCTCTCGAAACGAAAATAACGTGGCCCAATAAAAGAGAAAGTGTTGGCCGGAGAGTGGAGGAGGCGAGTGCCCCTAGCATTGCTCAAAAACAAAATTGCTTCTTAGTCCAAAATCCCGACACGGACACTCTTCCTGTAGATTGATGGGCGTACCGACAAATGTTATTAAGGTGTCCATACTTGGGGATTTTCGGCATGTTCACACAAAATTCTAATTATTGTGGTATCAGTCCCACTTCTATTTTAAGGTATCTTTAAGTCCTATAAATGCTTATTTATTTTAATCTATTGATTTTTTAGTTTTAATTTAAACCTTAATTTCTTAAGTAAGTTTGTTAAGTTTG